CATTTTTAAACTTGTAAGGCGTAATGTTATTGCCCCTCACAAGTTTAAAAAACAAAAAAATTTTAAGAAATTTTATCTTTGACTGCCTCGAAGGTTTACTGTCTTGGCAACTTTTAGTGATGCATCAATTTCTCTGTTGGATGGAACACTTCCGAATCTTTCAATTTAGATTAGTTCAAAGACCATTAAAAAACTACACTAACCTAACACATCCAAAAAATGGAGGGCGAGTGAAATTGAATTGTTTGCGATGCCGGGAAATGATATTCCCAACATACATTCGCTTTTTACTGACCCACGGATTAGGTGCATTTTTCATATATTTGATAGGGTAATAATCCACCTGAACCATTTTTATGAAATTGCGTGAAATTGACATTAGAATGTAAGAAAAGTATTGTCTTTAATTAAAAAGACCTCATAAGTACTTTATTTCAATAGGGTATGAGAATCGAAAACCGATATGCACTAACATATTTCCTACCCGTAGCATAATTTCGTGGTTCTCCTTCTTCATCTCAATATAATGCCAGTCACCATCATTAAACGGAACTGGATCATATGCAATGGCCGATAGATTTTTCCGCCCTTTAACCTGCAAGAACCCAAAAGTCGAAAAATTTGCTTTCTGCTCGACTGAAAACGAAAAAAATTTCGTGGTTCACAATGAGTCAGTCGGAACCAAAATGAATGTTTTTAGGTGGTTAGGTAAACGAACTTCAAGTTTTAGGTAGCCGTCCATGAGGTATAGGTAAAAGTATCTTGAAAATTGCTTATAATTTGCCCAAATCCAGATGATTCCATCTTTCTGTTTGGTACGGAAATAGAAACTTATTTCAAACCTAAAAAAGAAAACAGTCAACCGGGAGCGTTAAAAGGTACAACTCGAGTGCAAAATGATGGATGTCCTGTAGTTTAAATGAGACTAGTAATTAAGAAACAGCAAAAGACTTACAAAGTAACATTTGGGTAAGGTTCCGCAAACTGCAGTCTGCTGTAGCCGCTCTCGGTTATACCGAAATGTGCTGCATTCAATCCATCACTTAAGGCTAGCGGTCCAAGGCACTAGAATTAAAAAATTATGAAGTTATTTCCCCGTGAACAACAGTGATTGCCTATAGTTCTCAATCACACTAAAGATCATCAATACAGATTTTCATTATATTTTTATAGACAGATAGACGGCTGTATAAAACAATTTATCAACGTGAGAACTATTTTATCCAATCAGTTTGGCAACCAAATGCTACACACACCTCCTTATTTTCATTCCCAAGTCCGCCATCTTCTGCCGAAGCGTCCTCGTGGACCGACTTTTTGGAGCTAGTAGTTGGATTTGCTGACACCGTTCCTTTTGGTTCCCAAATATCTATAAAAAAGCAAAAATATTAGTGAAACCTAAAGGCAGTAAACCACAGACGAAAACCCCAAACCATGCACAAAGTTGTTTTCACAGCTACGAAAAGACCGTTAGAATATTCAACTGTAGTCCTCATCTGAATAAAAGGAAAAGTCTTTAAAAGTGTTGTTAAAACAGTCACACCAATCAAAACTTTCAAAAACGATGTTCTAGTTAGCATCACAAAATTATGTGAAAGAATGTTAGACTGTTAATAGGGTTGAACACTTTTAGTAGTTCATAGTCACGACTATGTTATGTTAGCCGACTGTTGTTATAAGGTTATTCAGAGAACTGAATGAGGTAAACACTGAACACGACAAAACTAGATGTCCGCCACTATACCATTCAAACAAATCGTTTGGAACCGCTTTTAAAAGAAGGATCGCTTTAAGTAAAGGAAAAAAAGAATAAAGATGAGCTATCTTACGACAGCAAAAATAAAAAATTATTGAAAAAAATATCCTTCCACACGCTATTTAGCTGAGATGGTTAACTTACTACTTCGCAAACTTCCCGAAAGTGAGCAGAACAAAAGAAATATTAGTTGCATTAATAATCATGCATCCTAAAAAAAGCCTTTTATACCTATTTCATCGTAGTGGAAATGCTCGGAAGTTGCGAGCGTCGGTTCAGTCAATTCTAAGCGTAATTTTGAATGCCTTGCTAGGAAGGCGGTGTCTTTCAGTTCTTCTGTAGTAAAAAAAGACTATAAATTATTTAAGTACCATAGAGAGTAAATAGATTCCAACGACAGAGTGAGGCTAGTGCCTCACTAACGCTTCATCGCAAGTTTAAAGGGTACTGGGAATGGTTAAGTCTCAGCAATTAAAGGTTTCCTAAAACTTCGTTTCATCCCCCAACGGTAGACATTCCATTAGTCTCTAATACTAAGGAACGGTGAGGTTTTGAAATATGGCTTCGTATAAGAAGCGTCCAATTACCTGATGGGACTCCAGGAGAGATGTCGTCGAAATTGCATGACCCGATATTTGCAAAATGAGCTTCCGGTATGATGGGAAAACGCCTAAATATGTTATTTCAAAAACAGTGATGTAAAATCTAATACAATTCTCCCTGAGAAACAGGGCATTTTAAGACATACTGATAGTCATAGAAGATATCGGAGATACATCCAATCAAATTGTTGTCCGTTGGAATTTCGTTCCGAGATGCTTTAACACCTTCTGGAAAACCTCCGAAGAACATCTGAGAAGAGCGACTCCCAATAACCGTATCAACTTGTGAATTAGCCACAGCAACTTCACGATCATCAACACGCAGACGCACGCTATAAAGTTACTCAAGAACTTTGATTATACGCTAAATTTTGCTAAATAAATTAGAACAAAAGTTGCGAAACTAACTTCGTTCCACTTCGGGCCAAAAATACTGAGTGCAGGTTACCATCATTGCACCGAACTTCTGATTTTAATATAACGGCTTTACTTCGATGAGTTGCATCAGTACCAATGTTAGCGACTATATAGCCGTATTGTAAATAGAAAGAAATATAACCCTGTAAGCATCATTTTCACTGATATTTGTATTACTGGTTATTATTTTTATTGTTAACATTACCAACTTATTCTTTTTATCAGTGAAACCATTATTACCGTAAAATCCAAATGGAAAATAAGGTATGAAAATTAAAAAATTTATAAATAGTAGCAGACTTCTCCTCGATTATCTTCACCCGTTCTTTTTTCTCGCTTTTTGTAAGTTGGCAGTGAACTGGACTGGAAGACAAGAACTGCAGTTTCCTGCTTGCTTCGCATATTAAAGGCAAATCTAAACAAAGATAGCAATTAAAGAAAGGCATGTTTTTTATTACGTAATAAACAACAAATTCATGTTTTCGAGTTGTCATGTACAGTTTCTATCCAGAATTTGTATAGTTTAAAGTTTTATTGATGGGCTAGAACTGATAAACTTGTCAGACAGAAAAATTATAAACTTAAAAAAAACTAACGTTGAGTTTTGACCCAGCCTAATACCCTGCGTTACTAAATAACCTGGCTCAGGAAATCCAATCACTTTATCTGTTGGCTTCAGACGATCGTCAGAATAGGCGCAACCAGCAGATTTCTTATAAGATCTAACAGACCCTTCCAAGTCTAGCTCTTTAAGCTAAAAATAAAGTAAAATTTATTTTACTGCCTAAGAAGAGGTTGGAATAAAAAATAAATTTCTTTTTATAAAGAACGAAACAATAATAACAAACAATAATAAAAGTTTCTCAAAAACGTTGAGTAAGTAGGACAAAGAAAGCAACGTTTTTACCTGAGACGGTTTCACTGACTGTATGCAACCGAAGAACCCGTTCCAGTGGATATCGAATCTGCTAAACGATTCGACTGAAAAATTGGATGGGACTCCTCCAACAAAGTGTTCTTTGGTGTCAACATCCAGTACGGTGCTACTGCCGGGTATGTTCCTTTCGTTTTTATCAGTACCATCCACCTAAACGAGGAAAGACGTAAGTTAATGTCATGGACCAGATAGGTAAAAAAATAAGAAGTTAAAGTAAAGACAACTGACTATTAATCCAATTTCCATCTTGTGTCGGATAGCAACGATATTGTGGGTGCGACCATCATTATATGTTGCCTTTTCTGACTGAACACTGGCGTATGACTCGTCACCAAGATTTATCTGAAAAGTAGTTCTAGAAACATAGACTAATGAAGTGATAATTTAAATTAAGCTTACAGGTGGATAATGAATGACGGACAACTTAAAAATGAGTCTGAACCTTGAAAATGACTCGTCCGTCTCTTAGTTCCAGTGCAACAAAATCGCCTTGCAGTGGATCACCGCGGAAATAAATGAGACCATCTGGCGAATACGCAGAAAATTGAATATCCAAACGAGAACCAAGCTTGTTGGTTTCGGATGTAAGCAGATCTACTTGCGCAAAGCC